GGTAATCATTTTACTGTGTGTGTGTATGTATGTATATAAATTCCAAGTGGTACAGCTCCTAAATATATATAATATTTAGGTTGTCGGTGATATTTAGGTTGAGATTAGTGTGTGAGAATGTTCAAAAACAGTTCTATGTGCTTGTTTGAAGAGGGCCCACACTTGGTTCTGAATTTCAGAGCATTTGAATAGCCTGGGCAGTTTTTTTTTAGTGCTACAACACAGCACCTACTGTAAAGAGAAAGGTATTTTTTTTGGGGGGGGGGATTCATAGTTAGAGATTTCAGTCCAAGGTCCGTTGGCTCTATTACTTCTTGGGTTCATGGTTTGGCAGACCATCATGGCAGGAAGCAGGTGATGGGAGCAGAGCTGTTCACCTATTGGCGGGCAGAGGCGGAGACAGACAGGATGCTTGAGCCAGCTGCTCCCTCCTCCAACCTTTATCGTGCCTGGGCCTGCAGCCTACAGAATCATGCTGCACATACGCAGGATATAGTTTATGTCCTTCGTTCATCCTCTCTGGAAACATCCTCACAGACACAGCCAGAGGTGTGCTGGACCAATCTCCCAGTTACTTCTCAGTGCCATCCAGTTGACAAGATGAATCATCATAGTAAGCCAGAGAAGAAAATAGGATTTTTATATGATTCAGTGTTTTGAAGGCAGAGTGAAGCAATTGCTTGGGAGAAGCTTTTCTTGTTATTGAGGACTGAGAGATTTTCCACAATGACCAATGGGAATGCTTTGAGATTCCATCTCATCCCAGCATGACTATCATCAAGAATGGAAATAACAAATGCAGATGAGGACATAGAGATGGAAGAGCCCCTACTCACTGCTGGTGGGAATGTAAACTTGGGCGGCCATTATCGGAGTCAGTGGGACGGTTCCTCAAAAAGGTAAAAATAGCCAGGCGGCGGCGGCGGCGGTGGTGGTGGTGGTGGTGGTGGTGGTGGTGGTGGTGGTGGTGGTGGTTGTGGTGGTGGCGGCGGCTGCTGCTGCTGCGGCACACAGGCCTTTAATCTCAGCACTTGGGAGTCAGAGGCAGGCAGATCTCTGTGAGTTCGAGGACAGCTAGGGCAACACAGAGAAATCCTATCTTGAAAAGCCAAAAACTAAAACAAAAGCCCAAAGAACTCAAAACAAAAAAAACAACTTGCAAGAAGCAAGGATGGAGTAGTGGACTTTAGGGTGGGGTGGGGCCTTCAACAGTCATTTAAAGCCTATTAGGCTTCACCTTTCGTAATGAGAAAGGACCACATCAGAGTCATAGTTTTCAGCCCTGGTTACATATTAAAGTCATTTGAGAATTTTAGGAAAAACAAAATATCACTACCACCATTACCAAAAATAGGGCCTAACTCCAGACTAAATAAATGTGACGTGACTTCTGTGTGGCTTTGCACTCCTTGGAGACATGCTGATTTCAACAGCATTGGGAACAGCTGCTCAAGAATGTTGGAAAAAAAAAAAAAAAGCCTGCAGGATGCAGGGAGACCAAACTCAATCCATAGTTCTTCCTGTAAAGAGTTGCAAAGTCCTTCAAACTCGACCACTTATGTTGTCCAGCAGCATCCTGGTAAGTCTGAGTCTTGGCTTCAGAGTGCCTAGAGACAGAGAAGCCACGCAGGCAGACAGATGGGCAGAGCTGTGATGGGGATCTCATTGTGGGGAGTGGCTTCTCCACCGAAGTTGGTCCCTGCTCTTGCTTTCAAGCTGTCTTGTAACCATTGGCATAAACAAAGCCAGGGCAACTCCATAAAGTGATAAAACAAATTGAGAAGCTTTTTAGAGCAAATGTTGAAAATTTTCATGTATTAATTAGGGCATTGTCTCCAAAGGTTCTTTAAGATTCGGTCTTCACTGGTTTTGGTAATCACAGTGTGTGTAGTTAAACTTGGACTATCTGGAGCTATTTGAGGAAAGATTATCTTAGTACCAGTTTTCTCGTAAGCCAGGGTTTATCCCGGTAGAGAATACCGGAACTTTGAAGTATTTACATGGTGTGTCTCAGTCTGTGCTGCCATACGGGTTTCTGGGTAACTGAGCTGGTTCATACTAGTACTCCGCTGGCACTGGAGAAGCTGGTCGCCTGGCCCTTCAGATGCTGCACTTGGGAGCATTATACATGGATGCTTTGTCCCATGGCTGTCCTCTGACTTGGATGCCTTCAATCTTGTAGCTTTAAAAATAGCTTTCCCACGGTAGTTTATTCTTTTTTTTTTTTTGTCTCAGTCTGTCAATGGAGTTAAAAAGTAGGTAATCAAATTAGTTGGATTATGGGTCTAATAGTAAAAATGTTCTTGCTAAACTTTAAGTCTTAGGAATGAGGTCAGGGAATTGCAGTAAATGGACTTGAGAATTTCATTTATGTTCTAGAAAGGTGGGCTGGGTGGAGATGTCTAAACTGAGGTCAGGAATTGCATGTGAAGCTGTGATGCAGGGCCTTACGTAAAAAGCATCCTGGGATTTGGAGTTTTCGTGTCGAGTATGTCCACTTTGATCTCTCAACTTGAATATTACATTTTACTTACTAAGTTTGCCTGAGATAATGTAAGACACCTGTGTAAAAGAGAGGAATCCCAGTAGGTTCATTGTGGCAGTGAGCTGTGAGTGAGAAGGGGGTGATTTATTTAGGACCTTTTGTGTGCTAGGTAATGCTGTAGGGGCTTTGTCTAGTAACACACCTACAAATTATGTAAATTTGAATGCAAAGCCATTATTGACCTTTGGGCATTGTGGAGCTGATAACAGAAGTTTGCTCCCATGTAACTTGACAATAGCAAGATCTATATTTTGCGTAACTTAATGCTTGGGCCCCTTGTATAATTATCGTAGTGAGATTCTGTTTAATCCTTGATATAACCCCATGAGGAAAGGGTTTTACCTCCCTAGGTTACAGATAAGGAAACTCAACCAAGAGCATTTAAGTAGTTTGGCAAGGGCTGTTTAGCTAACCAGGGCAGATCCAGGTTTGAACTACATGCAGGAAGTAAGACTTGAGACCCTCAATTCTCACAGGCTGTGTGTGCTCTGTTGTCTAGAGGGATGTTCCAGAAGCTTTACTGGCTACTGGCTTCTGGGTGGTCATTATCAAAAATGGCTTACTAAACCTTTCCATTTGTAAAATGTTCTTCTTTGGATTATTTTCCTGTCAAAATATCCATAAGAAGAATGTGGGCATCATGGGTTGTAATTGCTTAGAATTTACAGTTTAAAGTCCTAACCGCCAGGATCTCAGCATGTAACCTTATTTGGAGAGAGACATTGCTGATAGAATTAAGATGTGCTCATGCTGGTGTAGGGCACGACTCTGATCTGATGGGCAAGTGTCTCTGCAAGAAGCAGAGAGTTGAATGCACACAGCCCACGTGACTTCCTGACTGGCAGACAAGGGCTCTAAAGCTGCTGGTACCTTGTTGTGTCAGCGCTCAGATAGATGCCTGGAGAATGCTCTCATAAGCAGAATCCTAGGTCAAAGAGTCGGAAAGACGGCACTGCTATGTTATTCAGTGTTTACCAGGAACTGAGGTTAGCTAGCAGATTCTTCCTGTGGCTTTTGCAAGGGCTCAGGAGCCTTACTTTTGCACATTGCCTCGAAGCTCAGGCTGAGGAGCAGCACTCAGAGTTCACATGTTCCCCTGGAGCAGCATGGCTCAGCCACCCAGAGCACTGCAGGGTCCATTCTTTCCCTTCCTAATTATGGTTTGTCTTCCCTGCTGCTATCCAGAGGTAGAGGGGAGGACTGGCTGGCTCACATATCATTAGCCCGGGACAAGAGTCCAAATCAGAGTGTGGCTTCTGACAACCGTCTTGCTGTGGTGCTTTGAAACGCTGAAACCAAACTGTCGGCAAGGACTCTATTTGGAATTGGAATTGTGGGGGGTTGGGGGGAGAGCTTGGTTGAGAGGTCATAGTCACTTGGTATTAAGGCCACCTTTTGGGGCCAGCCTCAGAGGGTCACTTTCAAGCAGTTGAGTGAGCAGAGTTGGCTAGATTGGGGAGCCAAGGAGACTCTGAAGAGGGGGAAGTCTAGATGGGCTCTTGAGTGTGCGGGAGGAACCACAGAGCTGATGTCATGATTCTTCCAGCGTACTGTTTGTGGTTTGAATTCCTCCCAGGGCCCACTTGTGCTTCCTGTGTTTGGACATCGAGATGCCTCTATTTATGAGTTGCTCCCCACGGAGGCCTGTGTGGTTACAGTTCTCATATCCAAATGAACTCAAATGGGAGGGAAGTGCTGTATGGAGCCTTGCCTGAATGACAAGTACAGATGTCTCTCCAAAATCGTGAACGTTGGTTTCACAGGCTCAGTCTCCACAAGCTGTACCTGAACCACATCATACGAGACCATTGAGAACTTTATCCTTGGCTTGGTCTTGTTGCTTGTGCCACCAGTATACAAGAATCCCACTCTTTTGGTACACACACACACACACACACACACACACACACACACACACACACACACACAGAGCCAAGCGGATTTTCAAAAAAAGATTCTACCCGTCCATTCTAGAAAAGTTCAACAGTGAACTCTATTATGGTAACTTACCAGCAATGTGTTACACCACTTTTAAAAGCTGTTGACAGTTTTAAGGGTAGCATGGAGTTCATTTTCAATATATATATATATTAGTACAGGCACTTCCTTTTCCTTTCTGTTTAGTCACCAGTAATTTGTATTAATTTTTCTTTGTAGTCCACTAACCACTTCTTATTGTTTGGTATTTATCTTCCCCGAATTGTGGGGTTGACTTCGTACAGCTACAGAATCGTTCCCCCAATGCTATGATCTCATCTGTTGAGAGGACACAGAACTTTTGTCTATCTCGTATGACAGATTGTTCTAAGAAGGTGTGGCCTCTCTCACCATCACTGTAGGCTAAGGGAGCTGCAGCTTGGGGCTCGCATTCATCTTGCATGGGACTCTTCCTCCACATCACCAGGTGGTCTCGGAGATGATGGGGTGGGGTGGAGAAATCCCCTGGTCTAGGCTTTTAGAGAATTTCACTTCTCTTTTCCTGCTCAGGGGAGTCTTTGGTCGGCATGGTGACCTTCTCCTGCGTCTGAGCTTTCTTCAGCCTGGCCTTATGGAAGCTGGAGATTTCCTTCATGTCCAGCTTGTCTGCCATCTTACCGGACCTTTCCCCTCTGGTTAGAGTTCCTTTTGTTCACCTCTGGCTGTGTGTGACAGCTGGGGAGCCAGGGCTTGGCTCCTTTATTTGTAGAATTCAGGTGCTCTTCTGAATTGTTTTCTAAGGCTGTTGGGCGGATTTTCCAAACAGGTCGCCTGCCTTGAGTTCATTTGTTTCTGGTAGATGCCCATCATCTAGTTGTGTAGGTATCCTAAATCTGCAGGATTGCTTCCGCCCCTGGCCACTGAGCTCTGACCCCTACTCTTAGCCCTTTGCTCAGGGTTCTTTTAGAAGATGATTTGGTGCCCAGAAGCTAGCAGCTCCTGGGGAGGTGCACACTGAAGGAAAACCCCTGTGAGACCCTAATTCACAGGAGGCTCATGTTACAGGGCCCCTTGGGTGCGCCCAGGCTCCTGGGGAGCCTCTGGGCTGGCTCAGTGAGGAGTGAAGTCTGTTCTGGAGTTATTTGCTTTCTGTTACTGGCTCTTTGTTTCTTTATGAACCTTGTTTTCCATATAATGGATCTTGTTTCTTCCTCATGCTATCTACAATCATGCTTAAAAGCCCTGTTTGTGGCTTAACTGTTGTGTGTGGAACCTCAAACCATGTGATTGGCTTTTTGCTGCTGCTGTTTGATTTTTTTTTTTAAGAATTAAATTCAGTCTTGATTCCATCATTTTTTAAATTTTGAAAAATTCAGGTTGGTTTTCTCCCTGATTTTTTTTACTCACGAGGGGAAGAAGTGGTCACATTTTCATGTGCTGCTGCTCTCTGTGACACTTGAGGGAAAGATAATCTCCATAGTACCCGAGGAAGCAAAGCACTGGTGACCTTCTCCAAGACAAACCATGGTGGGTTTAGGGCAAGAATGGGGCTTATGATCCAAGTAGGTTATATACGTGCATGAAGATGCCAGAGTGAAATCCATCATTTTGTACAATTAATATATGCTAACAAAAACGAATGAAGACAAAACAAAACAAAACAGAAACCATGAAGCCCAAATTGCTCCTCCACTGGCCTAATTAGACTACAGAAGGAAAGTGTGTGTGGGGGGTTTCATGTCCTATCAGCCACAGTTTCTCAACCCAGATTGGTGAGCCATTAGTGAGGGGACACTGGGCTTGTCTGCCTGTACACAAACAAAAGGACACCCCATGTGCGTGCGTGGCACACACGGTCAAGTTGAGTCCTGAAGAGAAGGCCGTGCTGCTTCTGCTTTCCTGAGGTGAGGAGCTGAGTAGGCCTGTGGGAAGCACTCTTTGCCCTTGGGTTCTCTTCTGTTATTCTCCTTGTCCTAGAATATTCTGAACATGGAAATTATATCTTTTTAAATATTATAAAATATACATTATTAATATTCCAGATGATTCAGACACACCCCTGACCAAGAGGTAACACTGCTGTGAACACGTTGCTACCTACTTTATGTGCATACATGTACCTTTTATAAAGCCAAGATATGATTCATGAAAAGCATATGATTTTGTAATCTAGTTTTTTTCTCACTTTAGATATAAGTGTTTTTCCATATGAGAAAAAAACCAGACTGTTAAAAAGTGATTTCATGTTGTATAGATACATCAAAATTTCATTTCCTATTGGACATAAGATTATTTCTGTTCACTCTTTCAGGCTGCTATTGCAGAGCACACTTCGATTTTACTTTCAAATCAACTCTTTGCATACTTGTTGGAGTTTCCTCCTGGGGTAAATTCCTAGAAATCCAATTGATGGGACAAAGAATGGGTACCTCTGTAAGATGTTGGATCTGTATTTCCATATTGTCCTCCAGAAAACAAATGTCATACGTATTACTACTTTTCTCATACTGTTCAATTCAGAGGTTTTGTTTTTTGTTTTTTTGTTTTTTTTTAAACACACTGTTAATCTGAAATATGGTTGCGTGACAAATCAAAGTATTTACCCATTTAATTGTGGATAGAAAGGAAATATCGTATTATTTCCGGTGGATGACTGGTTGAGTTGGAAAGTATGTTTGTGGCACTTTCTCCTTGCCCGACTTGCCGTGGCTTTGCACATTTTTCTGCTGGGCAACCAGTTCTTCTCTCACGGACTGGCAAGAGCTCCGGGTATTTTTAGAATATTGATCCCTTCCTAGCAAACTTAGCAATATACTGTGGAAGAAATTTTCCATTTTATTGTAGCTTAAAAAGTTTTGTTTGTTTTTCTTTCTTATTTTAAAACATTATCTTTTAGAAATAACACGTTAGTCATATTTCTTTGTTTTCTTTTAGTTTTGATGGTTTGTTTCTGTATCTCTCTCCCTCTCTCCCTCTCCCCCCCCCCCCCCTCTCTCTCACACACACACACACATACACACACACACACACTGTTAGAAGATGTTCAGTGCTCCCTGCTCTTAAATTTGCTATAAGCTCAGGCGCTCCCCAGCTTCCCCAGGCTGTCACGACCTCTGGCAGTGTGGGTGCAGTGTGTTCCCAGGAAAGAGCTGTGGGGTTCTTCATTTCAGTGAAGGCAGAACAAGGTGTTTGGCTGGGAGAAAATAGAAGGCCAACATTAAAATTAGCGAAAAGGTGGTTTCCTTTTCTGCGTGGCCATATTCTGGTGAGTTGCAGCAAGTCAAAGCTAGGATTCTTCTCCCTGCCGTGGGTCTCTTCTGCTGCTCATGTTCCACTTTACCATTAGCATGTGGTACTAGGCAAAATTTGGAATGCAGAAAATAAACAAAGGTTCTGAAGGGAGCTAATTAGGACTGGCAGTGTGGCTCAGTGGTGGAGTGTATGTCTAGCATGTGTGAGGTACTTGGTTGGATACCCAGCCCTGCAGAAACCAAAATGCTTGTTGTGGAATATTATTTTAAGATGTGTTACCTTTGTTTATGCTGTGGATCATTTATTTAATGATGCAAAGATGTGTTGTGTGCTTTTATGTTGCATTTGTATAACTCTATGAAGCTGTGTTACTTCGCCTGTCTAAAACATCTGATTGGTCTAATAAAGAGCTGAACAGCCAATAGTAAGGCAGGAGAAAGGATTGGCGGGGTTGGCAGGCAGAGAGAATAAATAGGAGGAGAAATCTGGGAAGAAAGGATCAAGGAGAGAGAAAAGGAGGAGGGGAGGACTCTGGGGGCCAGCTACACAGCAAAGCCACAGAGTAAGAAGAAAGGTGTACAAAAATAGAGAAAGGTAAAAGCCCAGAGGCATAAGGTAGACAGGATAATTTAAGTTAGGAAAATCTGGCTAGAAATAAGCCAAGCTAAGGCTGGGCATTTATAAGTAAGAATAAGCCTCTGCGTGATTTATTTGGGAGCTGGGTGGCGGGCCCCCCAGAGAGTAAGGAGTAGAACAACCAACAACAAATGCCCCCGACACAAAAATTATGCCCCAAAGAAACCGATTATATTGAAATACAGTTATCATCAAAATGCTGAAAATCTACTAGAAATGTAAAGATCTAATGCCTATCCTTTTCACATTCTTCCCAAGAAAAAACTATCAAAGAAGAAATACTTTGAAACTCAGTCTGTGAAATACAGTTATCAAAATATTTAAAAAAAAAACTCTGTCTAGAAAAAGATCTGCTCTTAGATTAAAGCACTGGCTGACAAGCACTGGCAGCAGTTCTAATAATTACTGTCGTTTCTGAGTTGTCATCGGGTCTCAGATAGCCAAACTATAGTGGGACGTGGAAGCATCAGGTTTGCGTGCACTTGTCGCCTGCCCTTGGGAGTGGAGACGCTAGACGTCAGGTCGTGGAGAACAAAGGTGCCATTGCTGTCCCAGCTCACGCCCCCTGAATTCACTCTTGCTCTTGCTTGGTCTTCCCTCTGCTAATTCATCTCTTTCTACTAGTAAATAGAATAGTCATGTGGCCTTCATTTAGGGACTGCAAAGTAAAATCAGGTCTTTGGATGGATATTTCTTTTCTTCTAGAGGAAATAAAAAGAGTCAGTTACCATTATAAACTGGAAAGAGAGTGCCAATGAATCTGGACAGCGGCTGGGATTGATATTTTGTGAGTAATTTCTGTGAGATTGATTACTAGTGAGTAACATACTGTGTCTGGTTTATTTTCCAGGAAGCAGGAGAGGACACAGGACCCTTTCTATAAAACAAGGTAGTATGGTAGATGGGTTATAACTACACGAAAGTCAAAATAATGGAGGTGAATTCAGTTAGCAGAGTCTTTGGGGAAAGATTCTTGGTGGAGGTGTTGCTGATGCACACAGACCTGAAAGGATGAGGGGCCGGGAGGGGTCAGGATGGGAGCAGAGATCTGTAAAGCAGTCAGTCACAGGTCAAGGCGAGCCATGTGAATTGAGGTTGGGAGAAAAAGAGTTGGGGCATATTTGATGGCCGAGTGGCAGCCACTAAGAATTAGTTTAGAGAGCAGGGAATTTAGTGGCCTCATAAAAGAGCCAGAGAAGAGGCAGGAAAGAAAACTGTGCATATTGGCAAGGGTTTGGAACTCATTCAGTGTGCAAGAGAAAGGCTTTAGGCTTGAGGATGATAGGATCCAATTAGTGCCTACAAGGACCACATAAAAGGATGCTGAGTGAGGAGTCAGGCAGAATGAGGCATGTGAGGAGGCCATTGAAGCTGCTAGAGTGCTTGGTACAAGAAATGGAGATGAGAGGTCTGAAGGTAAGGGACAACCAGGACTTACTTCTCTCTCTCTCTCTCTCTCTCTCTCTCTCTCTCTCTCTCTCTC